GTTATTATTATTACCGTATAAAATTCTAATATTACGTAAAGTTCTAATACCGCGTAAGATTCTAATACTACGTACGGCTCTAGTACTATAACCGTAATAAATCCCCCCCCAAACCGTTAACCCTATAGAGCTATTATAACCGCGAAGTAAATATTCGTTTATTACTATTACGTATATTATTAACCGTTTATATTACTAATAATTATATTTCTAAACTCCCTTTAAGATATAAACCTCGTACCCAACCGCAACCCTTCGCCTTTCAACGACTATATTTATAATAATTTTATTTAAAATTATATAGACAAAGAAATTAACCCCGACGATAGCCTATATATAGACAATAACCCTACTATTAGCAAATAAGAATTTATTTCTATTAACGACGACGACGACGACGACGATAAGGATAACGAATTCTAAGAAGGGGATTATATATACGAAGGGAAGCGAATTCTAAAGAGGGGGATTATATATATAAAGGGATTATTATATATAATAATATTATTTAAAGGATTTATAGTACTTTCAATACTTTCAATATTTCTAGTACTCTAAGGGTTTTCTCATTATTATTATTTTCTTTATATATTTGCAGTATTTTCTTATATTTATATTCGTTCCTAGCTACGAATTACCCCTAATTTCGATAATATTTATTTCGCTATATTTACTATATAATCTAATATCTTATACTACTATACCCGTTATTTTAAATTCGTATAATTAATTTTTATATAGCGTATTATAATCTTTTATTTCGCTAGCCTCGTTAAATTCGTTAAAGGGTACATATACTTAGCGATAGTACCCTTATATAGTATTAATTCGCTGCCCTACTTCCTATATTGCCCCTTTAAAGAAGGCTTTAAACTCCCCCTCCTTTAGTCGATTACTGCTAGCGTACTAATATTGCCGCCTTATATATACCTTTACGTCGTTGAAGTATACTTCGATAGGGTTGAAATTAGGGGAATATAGTAGTAAGAATTAAAGTAAAATACCTCTATTATTATAAGTAATTTTAATAGAGGGATTTTTATACTACGACGCGTTGTTTATTACTAAAATACTATAGCGGTTGGGAAAGGGATTTATTTTAGGGAGCACTTCCTCTTCGAATTATATAATAAACCTAATTATATTAATTACTCCCTTATAATATAGTACGTCGATAAGGCTATTAATAATTAACGTTAATAATAGATAAAATTGTTTACCTTTAATTAGGGCGTTATCTAATTATAGAAATATACCCTTTAGCGCCTATCCTATATAACGAACGCTATCCTTCTTATTAATTCCAAATTTATTATAGAATACGTATATTTCTATTAAGAACTTTAAAACCTTCTATAGCTAATCGAATTTTAATAGATTGCTACGCTAAAAAACTTTGTAGGCCATCTTCTTATTCTTCTATTTCGAAGCCTTTAAATATTTCGATATAGTCGCTATCGATACATATATATTTAATTCGCTAGTAAGAAAGTGCTATATTTTATTAAAATAAAGGTCGGGTTTATATCAAAGGAGTTCGAGAACTTCTTATATATTAGTAAATTAAATACAACTTAAAGTTATTATATATATATATTTATATTAACTTCTATAGCCTAAGGCGCTAGTATAATAAAGTTAAAAGGGGTACGAAGCTTTGGATATAGCTTATTAATCGTATTATAGTTCTTCTTCAAGCGCTAGATCTATCGCTCGCTAATATTAACGGTTTGCGCGATTTTACGTAGATATTCGCTAGCGACCAATATTACGTAAATAGTTTACCGCTGCTGGCTATTTGTATAGTACGTTATAGTCGCAAGTATTATATGTCGATACAGTTTCAATTTCTAGTTAAAATAGTCAAATTTGAATGCAAATCGAGTATAAAACGACGGAGTTATCAATCTTTACGATCTGGAAAGTCGATGTTGATGCATGTGTGTGTATCTGGCGGCCAGATGCAAAAGTGGGGACTGACACCGTGCTTGCAAGGCACAGCGCTAACAAAGTAGCTTTGCACTACGCTGTTTTCGGTTGGCATTGCATTGATGGCGATTTGATCTCTACACCCTTCCCCACGCCGCACTTTTGCTCTTACACCCCCTTCCTTCTTACACCATCTAGACTAACAACCAGATTGAGTATGAATTGGGAACGATGCCGCAGGAATCTGACATCCGTCCGTCAAGGTGAGATCAAATCCGACCCAACAGGCAAGGCTGCGACAATGATTGCTTCCAGAAAAACAAGATGTTGCAACGGCGGATTGCATTATCTGGTTGAACTCCTCGTGCAGCGACACTGCAATCCTACTCTACCATGCATTAGATATCACAAGGTTGCAAGCGCATCCCCGATTCGACAGCCTTATCGAGCGGCCGCCGCACCCCGTTTTCCATAATTCCCTCTCGAGGGTACAGCATAGCCGGCGTTTTCTCCCCGCTTCAAGTGGGATGAGGATATCTGAGGGCTGACTGTCGAGAGACATGGCTTTTTCGGTGACCAAGTATCACCCACACCCAGACAGCGGGAGGACGGTTCCTACGGGACAAAAGGCTCGCACATACCGATATCGACCCTGTTCTCCCATAACCACGCCGCATTGTGGTGCAGGACCCTCTAGACCCTTATTCTGGTCCCCTGACAAAAAGACCGCGAGTCAAAGGATCCGATCTGACCTGAGACGGTACACAAGATCATTGCAGTGCGGTTCTAGGTACACTAGAAAGCTGGTCCTGATGGGTCGAGACTCCAATACATGTTCCATCGCTGACAAGATCCGCGATTCGTGCAACGATAACATTCACCGTTCAGCCATTGCTACCTACCAATTCACCGAGGCCAGCAGTGCCCTTACTGGGGGAGTCGGAATCTATCGCATTGCAACATCGGACTCTACGAAATCCAACATCGCCATGCATTGCCTCAATCACAAAAGCTATAGCGAATCATCAACAGCTATAGTAACACTGCTTCCCCTGTACCTTGCTAATCGCGGAGTAATGGTTCTGGCATTCCGGTGCCTGCTTACTACTACGCTGCTTCAACATCCTTGTACTAGAAGACTTCCAGTTTAGCTCACTACTACAAATTCTCGGGTATATTGACCAAGACAAGTAGTCACAGCGACGAGCATTCGAAATACTACAACAGTATTACGCATGGCAGCTGAATTATTGGGCGTCTCTATATGATGTCAGCCAGCTCTCATCCAGATGGAGGTAAGCTTGCGTTGACTCGGATCAAGTCCTATGTGTATGAGTCCAGGATAGCCCCCGACCCCAGGACACTATTCTCTGAACATGTTAATCAGCGTCTCTCTTGTAAGTGCATCTTCGTCGTTCCGACAGCTGAAGTCAAAAGGCCGTAGGACTGACAAATGAAAGCCATCGTAGAGTCAATGCTTAGAGTCAAAACTACATGTAGCCGACAGCGGGCGAGCCAGCCAGCCATACTCGACCTTCACGACTTTAGGCATCTGCGAATGGCATCCTAGCTATCCCCAAGGAGTCAACTTGTGGACAAATGACCCCCATCAAGCCACCGGATAGACCCTTAATTGCATCAGATCCTAGTGTCTTGGCTGCGTTCCCTGCCGAGAATCAGGGAACAAAGGTTCTGTGCAGCAGAAAGGCCATCTCCATCAACTCAACTACCGCAAAACATCAATATCACCTACATACTTTTTCATCACATTCGCAAAGCCTTACATGAATCCCATCTCTCTGTCATCGTTGCCAAGGAGGATCTCCACGGGTTCTCTCTTCCCAGCTCCCCGGTCTCACTCACCCCTTCCTTCCTTCAAGCCGCCGCGGCCGCTGTGGCTTGTCTTCCACATCCGCATGTGTCGACCCCCTGCATGCTCTACACTACCGCCTGTCCCTGAATATTTGTCTCTCATCTCGTCAATATCTGCAGAAAAGTAAGCCGGGAACCCGGAAGTTGGGAATCCGGGCGGCGCGACCGGACCGGTAAGACACTAGTCACATCAACTACAGGAGTTACGTGCATGCGTCCGGTGAACACACAGGTGCATGGGACTAACGACTGACGGACTCTCAAGACCATCGAATGCGCCTCATTCCTGCTTGAGTTGAACGAGTGGGCAATAGCTGAGAGGAGAAGGAAACTGCAATGAGCGAGTAGGGAGGTCTCGCAGGTTTTACCGTCCCGTCTCGTCTGTTCCCTAGGGAGCCAGGGAAGTGAACAGAATAGGCAGATCCTTCTGCCAAGTGTTCTGCTCGAGCTAGAGCTTAGATTTTGAAGAAGGTTCTATACATGCATCTATCACATTCGGCACGCTGTCACTCACTCAGGAGTACCTACCTAAGGGTCCAAGGGTTTAACGAGCCGTTCAAGGGGTCCAAGTATCCATCTCTAAAGGTTCATGAACCGTGGGGGAAAGCTAGTGGCAGATCTGCAACTTTATCTCTCTTGGATCTCTTAGTCCTTTGCAAACAGCGGGACGGAAAGCGGCTGCCTCTACCTAGCTGGATTCAGGGCTGTTATGGTAAATTGGAGGGTCCTCCTCCGGCTTTTCCCTACGACGCGTTCAGTGCTGCCCAAGAAGTCTCTTCAAGAGGCTAGTGGGATGAGTGAGGTCCTACCTACCTTGCTAACACTACCTTGTGGGTTTGTAGGGTATTATTCCGGAGCAAAACCTGCTCGCCCGAAGGTCCCTTCCTGCTCCTCCTCCCGTTGCTCGTCGTGGCTGTTGAGGGTCAAGAAGAATGAAGGAAGGAGCAGTCTATATGGGGGTCACCCAGCTACCTCTAGGCATTCCCATGTACACCAAGAACACAACCAAAAAGGAATCGGACTTCAGTTTCCAGTTTGAACAGATGTAAATACTCGCTGCTCCTAGATTTTCCGCAAAAAAACAAGAAAAAAATAAGAAAGAAATCCATGCCTGTCCATCCATTCCTATCATCCACACCTAAGAGAAAACACTAGACGAAAAGTACTCCACCCACAAGAAGGCCAAAAAAAAAATGATATGCCCAATAACAGGATTGAACTGTTGACCTTCGCATGGAACTTGATATTTCCGAAGAGGGAAGATATTAGTACGACGCTCTAACCAGCTGAGCTAATCGGGCTTTTGGTTAGAAGCTCGCCATTTCGGTTGTGCTTATTATGTCGGGATTCCTCAACCAACATTCTCGGGGGATGCAGGTCCGAGTTGATGAGGGAAGGTGGGAAGGAAGGATTGAAGAAAAATGGGATGGGACGGGAGGAAAGAGGTGTGGATACTTTGCTGGATATCATGGATTGAATGGTGGAGTGAGTCACTCGGGGTTTCAAGAAAGTACGAACGATGTCTCGTTTGCTGCATAACGTTTGTGACTTCAAAAGTTTAGATGGAAGGTGGGATGGCGTGGTGCATAGAAGGAGGGATGAACGAAGGAAGGGACGACTGTGGATGGATGACTGGGTCTTGTACGGTGAGCGCTTCCTGTGATTCCCGTCCTAGTTGGATGGAAGGTGGAGTGGTGTGGTGCATAGACCACCGAGAAGGGATGTATGTAAAATGAATGCCTCTATCCAGATGGAAATCAAACTCGCGGTGCATAAGATGCATCCAATGTAGCAATAGGAATGACCTTCATTAAACCCATTGACTACCTACCTAGTTAAATTGGGTAAAGCTGTGTCATGCTCGTTTGTTCGCCCGAACGTCCATCAAACTGAACGGTGAAGTTATGACGGAGGGTGAGCGTATGCTCCGAGGTTCAACGCCCTTATCATTTTGCTCACTCACCTGTTGGGCAGAACAGATATTTGGTCAGTGTAGGTATGGTCATCGTTCAGTTGACGGTCTGAGTTAGGTATTCTAAGTAGGTAGGTTTCCTTCACGGGTCTACAATCATCTTCTTCGGAAGCCATCTCAAACGCGCTGAGACGACCCATTATCTACGAGACAGGAAAGACATCTCCAAAGCAGATGATCAACGAAAGGGTTCCGTAGACATATTAGCTGTTGACTTCGTCGGGACTGGACCAGAATGCAAACGCGGATGAAGCTGACAACCAATCCTATTGTGTTTCATGATCCAGTGTCCTGAGGAAGCCGAATTCATCTGCCCAGTCAACAACTAGCCCTAAAGGTCAAAAGTCGGCGACAAGACTTGAGCAGATGAACATACTTGATCAGGTGAGCGAACATTAGTTTTAGAGCGACAAACAATTACTATATAATCTTGATCATTTTCGTGTTATTTCTACCCGCTTACCGAATACCCTCATATATGTACTAACATCCACACCAACACCTTGCGAAACCGTCGTGTACGGAACAAACCAACGTCCAAAAGCGACGGCTCAGTGATTCCATCCAGCTCGTCAAGAAAACAAGGGTTGATAATATTCATCATACGTATGTCTGCTGGTCTATTCCTAAGTTCACTGCGCTGTTCCTCGTATCATCAAATAGGTATCCTCTGCCCTTCCTCCATCGATCATGAGTTCCGCCTTCCAGAACAATCTGTCTCCAAAGACCCCAAATATGGATCTGGCTCCCATCACCTCATTCCGTGTACCTTCTCCTCCCCATCGTCTGGTTTTTATCCCTCCTGCCTTTGCACCGAACAAGTCAAACTGACCGGCCCTCCTACCACCTGCGCTACGTCACGTCTTGTACCCTGCCAGTGATTTCCCAGTCCGCATCATTGCATCATATCCTTGCAGAGGTAGGAGGATCTTTCCGTATCTTGTGCTGTGATTCGAGTCCTGTGCGTTACCACTCGACGAAAAGATCATGAGTTGTGTACCATCCCCTGTTGGCAGATTTCCTTCCAACAAGGCGATAAACCAAAACGATATAACCGCAAACCAGAAACTCCATATGCAGCTAATGAAAACCAAAACCCGACCGCGCTTGCTTTCTCGTCCCGAACTCCAAACGCTTTTGATGATGGCGGCAAAAAATAATGAAAGAATGAGTAATGCAAAAGAAAAGAGAAAAAAAGGGTCTAAACGGGTATGACGTGAAAATGAAAGCAGAGAGGCCTGAAGTTGGAAAAATAGCCCCCGTCCGTTGAGAACTAACCTGCTTCTACGGCTCTGAGTGGCGACGCTGACCCCCCCTCTCAAGTAATGAGTCCAAATAACTGGGAGGATCAAGCGAAGGGACTTGGGAAAAAGAGCGAGGCCGTGGTTGATAAGAACGAGGCAGTTGCGGCGAAGCAGGAGGCGATTGTTGAGAGGAACGAGGCGATTGTTGCGTGGAACGAAACAGTTGCTGCGAAGAATGAGGCGGTTGTTGAAAAAACCGAGGCGGCGGCTGAAAATAAGGCGGCGGTTGCTGGAGTTCCTGGGAAGAAGGAGGCGGGTGGTGAGGACTGATGATGTCAACAAGGCGGGCCCAATTGGGGCCATGAAAGGAACGAACGACATTGCTGCTGCCAGGCACGTATATAGCCGGAGGCTCAGGAAATCCGGGAGGCCGCTCTGGTAGGAAAGGCTGACCGTTCGGTCCAGAAACTGTTTCCTCAAATACTTGGGCACCCAAATCTGAATGCGGATTTTCTTGTGAAGTCTGAGCATCCTGTCCAGAAACGGTGCGCTGCCTTTGTGGCCAAACTCCAGCACGATGTGCAGCAGCGAGGGCCTGGTTTATGCGCTGAGCACGAAGCCTATCGTCCTGCTCCTCTTGTAAGGCCTGAGCACGAAGATTATCGTCGTGTTCCTGTTGTAAAGCCCGAGCATTTTGTTTAAGAGCAGTGAGTAGCACTACTTCTTCTCTAGCACGCTCTGCTCTTTCTATAGTAACGAGTCGCATTGCTTCTTCTGCAGCACGTCGCCCTTCTGGTTCTTCAGCAGCAGCGACTCGCTCAGCGAGGTGTCGATTTAGCCTTTCTTCAGCAGCGAGTCGTTCTTGTGTCATAGTCGGAAGTTCCATAGGCGGAAGCCTATGTCTACCTCTGACCCCTCTCCTGGCCCTCCGGTTCGAGGAAGCATGGTGCCTGCACACCTATTGAGGCCATTGTCTACCAGAACCAGGAGGGGTGAAAGTAGAAGAACCAGGGAAAGTGTTGTCGCCGGGATACGGGGGTGCAAGAGGCTGGTCACGCTGTTCAAGGATAGCTGGCTGCCCTTGTGCGGGACCCCTCATGCTGGGGACCTGATCAGGGAAGGCATGATCACGATTTGAAGGTCCAAAGCCGAAGGACCCCTCCTCACGGAGCATCCATGGAGGTGCTGGTTCGGATGTGTAGGATGCCGCCGGTGGTTGTTGGGGGAGAGAGGGCGTCTGGTTCGTATTGGCGCTTCTGTAGGGATTGTCGCTATCCGAGGCAGGCTGAATCACGAAGAAGGTTGTCAATAAACTTTTTCACAGGAGAGCGGTTACAAGATATGCCAACGAGGGGAAAATTAGACTAACCCGTTCACGAGGTGGGCGTTGATTGCTTTGTGCAGAAGGTCCAGATGATGACTGTCGCTGGTGCAAGGTACCATGTCTGGCTCCCCGTCTCGTGGTGCCTGTATTTTCCGAAGGGGGTGATCGCCGACCTCCCGCTTGCCATGCCCTGGGGCCACTGTACCTCTCATTAAGCTGGACCATGTGACGAAGTAACTCCTGCTGCCTGCCAAGATGTCAGAGCAAGAAGTTGTACGACTGCAGGGCAAAACTTACGCTCTATTACCATGCCGCCTGAAGTGGCCACTGTCCAGAAACTCCCTTATAGACTGGGCACTAGCCTGAGTGTATATCTGCTGTGTAGGCAGCTCAGCTCGACAGTACGGGCAGCTGTTCGAATCTTGAAACCACTTTTTGATGCAATGTTCGCCGAAGACATGTTTGCACATGGGAATGCGTAATGGCTGCTCTGTAACGCCCTCCGGGCTCACGGTACCGTAATCGTTGTAGCAAATATCGCAGACTGAAAAGTGTAAGTTAGACTCGATAATTTTGGCGACACAAGGACATTATGGCAACTTACTCCGATCGGTTTCAGGCAGGTCTGCAACATTCACAGGTTCAAGGCTTTCTATCGCCTTTTTAGACGCTACCTTCTTGGTACTTTGTCCGCGCGCCACCTGCCGTGCCCTGACCATTTGGGCTGCTCTTTCTTGAAATTCGGCTGCTCGTTCTTCCAATCGGGCCGCTTCTTCTTCACTGATTGATCGGCGGCCCGGTATCTCGTCTGGCAAGTCCAGATCGTCGTCACTGAAGCTGTCTGAGCGATGAAGAGCTCTCACCAAGTAGTCTCGCATCTCTGTTCGCATCTCGGGGTAGGCAGGACCACGTGAGAATGAAGTCGATTGTCCAGCGGGGGGTCCGGTATTGGACGCTGATGCCGAAGTGGGAGCAGATGCAGAGGCGATGGCGGAGCCAGAGCGGGACTGAGTATCGGGAAGTGGTGCAGCTGTGTTGGCCAATCCGGAGCCTGGCCGTTGGCGAGACGGTCGGTGAGTGCTCGATGACGAGGCCTGGGGCCCCTGGGAACTCGGGGGGACCTGAGGAGGCTGGAGGGCATGGGACAAGTCATTGCCGCTTTCGGTTGGATTCGACATGCCTGACGAACGATATGGAGGGAGCCTTGAGCGAGGCTCGGGGGCAGGAAGCCTGATGTGGCTACCTGTCGACGAGGCCGTAGTAGCTGGGGGTGCTGGTTGAGGAGATTGATGCGAAGGCTGGCGACGATGACCAGGCGGGGGGTGGTAGGAACCGATGATGACACCGGTTATGGGGCGTGTGTGACGAAGACCCCAAGGATCTGGGTCAGGCAGTACTTGGCTGGGAGTAGAGGTACTGTTGTTACCGAGGGCGGCCAGGTGGTGAGGATGCAAGAGTGCCCGTGGGCTTGAAAGTGAACTTGAAAACATGTAGCCTGGTTCTATGGGCGAGAGACCGGGTGGTGCAGGTGTTGATGGCTCTGGTGGGAAGGGGAATGCAGAACGGCTCTGCCCCTGGGGCTGTTGAGGTGTCCAGTGGCCAGACTGTATCGGTCCCGAGCCTGAGCCACCAACCTGCGGGGCAGCACTTGCAGCAGTTGGTGCAGCAGATGAGCCACCCGAGCCACCCTGAGCTTCTGTGTTGCCCATAACTGTGTCCGCATCTGCACTGGAGTTCGAGACCGGGTTTGCAGCTGGTCGC